TATAGTTTCAGAGGTTCAGTTCATGATTGGCTGACTCCATCTCTCTGGGCCCAAGGTGAGGCAGCACATCATGACAGAAGGACATGGCAGAGAAAAGCCCCTCAGGACAGGCAGTAGGAAGCAGAAAACTCTACTCTTTAGGGACAAAAGGTAAGCCTCAAAGCCATGCTCCCAGTGACTCACCTCCTCCAGGCATACYCTACTTGCCTACAGTTACCACCCAGTTAATCCATGTCTATGGATTAATCTAGTGATAAGGCTAAGGCTCTCATAACCTGATCATCTCACSTCTAAACTTTCTTGATTGTTTTACACATGAACTTTGCGGGACACCACATATCCAAACCATAATAAGTATGTAGTAAATTATGATTTCCATTACCATTTTTTTTTCCTATTCACAGGACTTTTTGTTTCTCTGGTGTTGGTTTTTGCTTAGTTGTTGTTTGGTTATTTGACTGGTTTCTATGGATTCAGTCATGAATTAAGCCCTACCCTTCTCTCCCCCAGTTTTGTAAACCTCTTTTCAATATAATTAAACATTCAAGGTGTGTGTGTGTGTGTGTGTGTGTGTGTTTATCTTGACTGTATCTCTGTGGAATCCTTGGATCTGCTACATGGACTAGTTGCTCTTTAGGCCCAATGCTCACCTGTTAGACTGAGATTTTCCTTTGCCAATATCAATCACATTCGCATCACTATCATTGTTTCCTTGACTCCTTTGTAGTCCATCCTTTCCATAACACCTAGGCACTCAGCAAGAAAGCTCTTCTGCTTTCTGTCACTGTGGGTTAGTTTGGATTGAATTTGGATTGATACGAGATATAGGTCCTCTGATTTTGTTGTTTATTAAATATTGGTTTGGTTAGGAGATTCACATTAAAATATAAAATTTTGAACTAGCTTTGTTATTTTATGTCTGCTGGAATTTGGGGGAGATTCAGTAGAATGTACAGATTTAATTTGAAAAATAATGGACATTCTAACAACAATCAATCATGACTATGACATAGCTTTCCATTTACTTAGTCTTTAACTTCTCTCAGTACTGTTTTTTTAAATGTATACTTATTACACACATTTTTCTCAAATTTATGTGTAGTTAGAAATAGTCACACATAACTTTGATGCTATTGGAAATGGAACCGAAATTTTTCAATTGTGTATTGTTACTATATATAAAAATACTATTCTATTTTTGGGTATTGACTTTGTGGAGACCTTGTTAATTTCATTTATTAGCTGTAAGAGTTTTCTTTCTGGATTCCTTGTGATTTTTCCAGCACACAATCATATGGTATGTCAACAGAGTTTTACTTCTTCCTCTCCATTCTGTATGTTTTTTTATTCACTTTTTTTTTTTTTGCCTTATTGCACTACCAAAGACCTCCAGGAGAGTGTCAAATACTGTGGTGACTCTAGGCATCCTTGTATTCTTAATCTTAGGAGGAAAACAACCCAGTTTTCACCATGAAGGTGCCATCCATGGACTTTTCATAGATGACCTTGACCAGTTGAGGATGTTTCCTTCCTCTTTTCCCTAGTTTGCTGAGAATTTTTAATCATGGATGCATGTCACATTTCTGAAATACTTTTGTTTCATCCATTGATATAATTATTTATGTTGTTTCATTTATTGTTTTAATATGGTGAATTAAGTTAACTGATTTTTTAATGTGAAATCTACTCAGCATTTCTGGAATAAATCTTACTTGGCCATGAGTTGTAGTCCTTCTTACATAGTACTGGATTCAATTTGAATACACACACACACACACAMAAAAAAAAACAGAGTTTTGTCTTATGTTTTAGGGATAGGTGTCTACAGTTGTTTCTTGTAATATATTTGTTTAGGTTTACTATCAGAGTAATACTGTCTTAAAAAAATGTGTTTAGGAAACACTTCCTCCTTTTTTCTGACAGAATTTACATTGGATTGGCGTTACTTCTTCCTTATGGTTTGGCAGAATTCAACAGTGAAGGCGTCTAATCCTAAGGTTTTCTTTGTGGTTGAGTTTTATTAATTATGAATTCAATTTATATACATATCCTTCTCTTCTGTTGTCAGGTTTAATATATGTATCTTTCAAGGTATTTGACCATTTAATTTAAGTCACCAAATTTATCAACATAGAGTTGTTCAGAGTATTCCCTTATCATCTTTTATGATGTTCTTTGGATCTGAATTGATGATCTCTGTCTTAATCAGGATATTGCTAATTTATTTTTCTCTTCTGGATACACCTAGGTAGAGGCTTATTGATTTTATTAATCATTTCAAAAAATCAGCATTCAGTTTCATCAGTATTTCTCTATYATTTATTTGTTTTCAATTTCATTGTTTTGTACAGTAAAAAAATCTTTACGGTGTTTAATTTGCTCTTCTTTTTCTGGATTCCTTACCACCCAGCACAGCACAGCACAGATCACTGATTTTAGAACTTGCTTTTGTTCCACAATAAAAACATTTAAGCTTATTATTTCTCTCTTAAGCACTGTTGTAACTTTTTCTATATTTTTTCTTTTTATATCTTTGTCTACATAAATATTTATATGTTGCATTTTGTGTGTGTGTGTGGTGTGATTTGATTACTTCTTGACCCAGGGCTGTTTAGAAGTAAAGTTGCTTAATTTTCAGATGTTCAAAACTTTTCCAGATACTCTGTTTATTTCTATATATGTTCAATTCTTTTATGATCAGAAAACATGCTTGGTGATATTTACTCTTTTAAAATCTATTGATATTATATAGTTTATCTTCATAAACATTCCATATATATTTGAAAAAAAATTTATTTTGTAATAGTTGGGAGTACAGTGTTCTGTGTCAATTACAACAGTTGGTAGTGTCCAAATCGTCCACATCTTTATGATTTTTTTCCTTATCTGGGATTTTCTATCAAATACTGAGAGAATTCTGTTAATGTTTCCAATAATGATTATGGATATACATTTTCCCCTTTAGTTCTGATATTTTATTCCTCATATACTTCCAAATTCTGTTGTTGATCACACATTTACAACTGATATAGCTTCTTGTGTTATTTACCATTTTATTATTATGAAATATTCCTCTTTATCTCTAGGAATTGTTCATGTCTTGATGTCTATTTGGGAAGATATATGTTTATGTGATTTATATATTGYCAAGATTTCCAACATTTGGTTTCTATTGCTTGTATTCTATACTACACAAGGAATATTGTTAACTGACATTCATAGAACACTGTATTCCCAACTTTACAAGATAAACATTCTTTTCAAATACACATAGAATATGTATTTGAAAACCACATAGTCTCAATAGAGTTTAAAAGTATAAATCTCAGAAAGCATGTTCTCTGATCATAATAATGTTGAACATAAATAGAAAACAAATGGACACAGAAATGGTGACAAGAACAATGGGACTTTTCTACGACTAATTTAAGGTATGATGAGACTATAGCACCAGAAAGAAGGGAGGAGTGGCAGTTATTACTATGTCCTTCATCCTGTTTTGACTTTTGACTACATAGTGTAATGGTTTGGAGTACAGTCTTTATAGGCATCCTTGTATTCTTAATCTTAGGGGGTCCTGGGCTTAATTTCTGCCTCTATTACTTACTAACTGTGTAATCTTGGGCAAGTTTACCTAACATCTGTTTCATCATATGTCCATAATAGTACATACTTCATGTGCTTTTWGAAAGATGAAATTATACATTTGAATATACATACATCTATACTTTATATACATACCTATACTTATATAGTGCCTAGCAAAGTGCCCAATAACTATATATAATCCATTATTATATTTTATCATATCAGACATCTTTTTCATATAGCCTAGTCTCAATTTTCCTGCTGGTTTCAATTTTCAGAG